CTGACATGCCGGAGGAAGAGATGTGACTTCTGCCTCTATTTGTCAAGGCCATGTCCTAGCTTATTGCACCTTTGGATTTCCAGGGGAGCTGAGTTTTGTGCACGTCCTGGTTTTGAGGAAAGATTGAGGAATGGGACATGGCAATGTGACTGTGGATATCACGGGCTACATCTTCACTTACACTTTAGGTATTGCCAGCCTTACACACTTCCCGATCTGAGGTCGTCCTCAGCCCTGATTGAGGCCTTCAGGCTCCTCTTCCAAAGCTTAGGAAGAGTTAGATACATTGGGAAGGACTCCTCAGGAACCAGAACAGCTGGAACTTCTGTAAAGTATCCCATGAACAAAACGGCTTGGGATGGGATTTAAACACTCTGGGGCCTATCTGCCTGATTCAAAGCTTCTGCTTCAGGTGGGTTGGTATGGCTATGGCTGCAAAACAGGACAGGATCATGAGGTACTACCTGTTCAGGCTCCGAAAGCGACAGAGCTGTGACAGCATGATGCAGAACCAAACAGCTCCATCCCCTGGGGCTGAACACCGTTCTACGTTTTCCACAGCTACGCTGTTTCTGGTTCTGGAGGCAACCGAGTCATTGCTGGCTCCAGGCTACTTACACGGTGCTCTGCCACGTCATTAGACAGACTCCAAATGAATGTGGTTGAAACCAGGTGCCTCCCTCCTCCTGGGCATTCACTCGGAGCTATGTACAATCTTGTCTGCAAACAGAAATAGCAAAAGTTAACTCTGTTTAATATCTAAATAATCTTTCCACCAGGGGTGCAGGAGAGCTCTCATTATCTTCACACCCACATTTCTTCACTTTTGACTAGAATTAATTACTAACTTCTTACCTACTGTGTGGTAGTAGCTGACCCACCCTTCCCTGTGATTCTGTGCGGCCCTAAATGGAAATGTGCAGGTACTTTCTGCAAAATTGCAAGGCACACAGGTGCAAATCTGAGCTGGGTCTAAGACTATGCAAGAAGCAGAAGGTAAGGTGGCTTGGCAAGTTTAGCAGAGCATAACCCTTCATTTGCGTGTATTCTTAATTATATAAAATAGTATACCTGCTTAGCCCCACAGAAAACTCTGGTTTCACAGGCAGGGAAGTTGCCTTCTGGTAAGGAACCATGCGTTTTATTTATTTGGTATGTCCAATGCAAGGCACCCACAACCTCATGCAGATATTAACCAAGTCTTGCAGCTGGCCAGAAAACAGAGAGGTCATTATTGTCTCAGTTATAGAAATGGGAAAGAATTAAAAAAATAGAAACTGTAAGGCAACAGTTAGAGAGGTACAGAGGGTACCTGCTTTAATTGAAAGTGTTTGCTTTCACTAAAACAACATTGCAGCAAACCTTTGAGCTAACCTGATAGTCTCTCCCTTATTTTTTTTACCTGAAAGTTTTCTGAATGGCTGCAGTTGGCTTTGTGTCAAAGGCAGAAATGTCCCAGCCTTAGCATTTCTAGTTCCTGGCTGCATTTAGGCATCTGTTTCCCACTTGGAACCTCACTGGGGCCCATGGACCATGAGAAGCAACACCACCCTTGGAGGGGGCAAATATGCAGAGCCCAAACAGCCTGTTCCAACAGAATGGCCAGAGAGCCATTTTCTCCTTCTAACTCAAAGCCACAGGTGTTGCCTGACTTGACTGAAAAAATTCAATAACCACTGTCCTAACCATGAGATAAAATTAGAAAAGGCAAGAGGTAGTCACCTCGTGGCCTTATCCAAAGTCTGCACATGGTCATCCATGTTTGCATGGATGCTGTCTGCAGGATGCTGGTTGCAGCCCCAGGTAATGAGTGCTCTCTTGGAGTGTGCATTGGAACAAGACAGCCCAGCAAACACTAGGAATAGCCATGAGAGGTGAAGCTGTGCTGTAGCAGTGCAGGAGTTTAGCTATATGGACATGAGTCACAGTCTACCACCACGTTGTCAGAAAAATCATAGAATTGTCTAGGTTGGAAGGACCTTGAAGATCATTGAGTCCATTAAACTAACACTGCCAAAACCACCACTAAACCATGTCTCTCAGCACCACATCTACCCATCCTCTAAATGCCTCCAGGGATGGCAATTGAACCACTTCCCTGGGCAGCCTGTTCCAATGCTTGGTAACCCTTTTGGTGAAGACATTTTTCCTAATATCCATCCTAAACATCCCCTGGTGCGACTTGAGGCGCCAAAGAAGATGGACCCCAGCCCATTTTATTTACTAGGTTAGATGATGGCCTGTGGCATTAATGGCAGACCTCTTAATTTAAGGGAAGGCAAGTTAATCCATTTCATCTCAGCCCTAACATGCAACCCCGTCTCAAGCCCCCTACCCTCCAGCTGGGGACAGGAGAGCAAACACATCACTGTGCCCAGTGTGCCCAACTGAGCAGCATCTGAGTCTTCAAAGGCACTCACCTCTGCGTTCACTGTCTGGTCCTTCAGCACTCTTAACGTGCCCTGCCCTTGTCAAGTAAAATAAACCTACGTTATCTGCCTCCTGCACTTTCACTTGCTTGTTCAGACCCAACACCTCAGTGTAGGTGACTATACAACTGATTTGCTCCAAATCACACCGTCACAGAGCAGCCACCGACTGTTTCCCAATTCACAGATAGGCTATAAAACAAGGTCACAGGGCTAAATAAAGTTTCCTAATAATCAGGAAAACCATTAAAAAGCTAAAGAACATCTTACAGAAAGTTTTCTACGCTATGAGACAGAGAAACAGTAAACATTAATCCCCAGTTTTGCCACAGACAGAACTGTGGTACTGCAAACAACGTAATTCTGATTTAAACCTCCTAAAGATCACCCTTATCCTCCCCTTTCCCCTACAGTCTGAGCACTCAGGACCATATCCTACGTGTTTCCTTGGACTTGAGAAGTGAAGCTAAACCACAAAACACAACACAGAATTGATTTTTAAGAAATTATGCCAAAAATAGCTGCCAAATACTTTCAGTGATCTATTCCTACAGCAGAGGAGATAGTTTCTTTTACCAGCACAGTAAATCTGAAAGGTTTCTGTAAGGCTCACAGGCGTGCAAGTGCACTACAGCAAAGAGCCTCAAACCTACTACGGTTTTGTATCTTCATTTCCCATCAGCAAGCCCATTCACAACAGGCAAGTGCTCAGGGGAATGAGGTCCTAAGCTATTACAAAGCATAAGGAGTAAATGGCTCCTAGAGTCACCTGAGAACTTTTTTTTTTTTTTCAGTGGATAAAGGAGATGGTAACTAATGACTGCCTAACACAGTTCTTTATCATTTAGTGGTGTGCGACGCTTTATTTAATGTGAGAACATGCAATAAATAATACACCACCATATTATTTCTAGAGATCACAGCTCTAATGTTTCTTGTTGCTGCAGCTTGCTTTCTAAAACCTGTCTGGACGATGTCAAGTCACACACAAGTTTAATTCCCTCTTCCCAACCCCCTCAGACTTTAACAAGTATTGCTATGATTTTGTTTTCATTAAAAGCCTCAATGGTATTTATATGTAGCATTCTCCTTCAGCACAGGAGGACCCAAAGGTGAAATCAAGCAGCAGATGACTGTTCACCACAAAATGAGTAATCATTTATGTTCCAAGCTAAAATAAATATAAACAGAAAGCTCACTGTTCTAATGTCTTCATTTAGCAACTTTTTTTTTTTTTCTTTTAAACACACACCATGTAAAAACATTTCGAACCTTGTGAATGCTCATTTTATTTTTGTTTTCTTTGGAAAGCCTGAAGTGAAACATCTATCCTCTTAACTTGATGTCTTCGCTGCTTGCCTTTCCCAGTGGCAGAGGGATGATGGTTATACTGCTCCATTACATATCCTGGTTTAACCACACAGCTTTTCAAAACAGCCCCACCACTAAAATGAGCTGCAGTTCTAGATTTACACTCCCCATCACCGTCACTTACAGCTCCCGATGAACCATTCCACGTCTAAGCACACACGTTTCCCAACAGCTGAACTGCTCCACAGTTTTCTGTGTTTTTCTTATTATAACTAGCTCCTTCATTTCAGCTGCATCACAGTTGAGCTCAAGCCTGAAACGCAATGCTCCACCTAGGGCAAGTGCTTATTTTTACTCAAGTAATTACAGAAAAAAAGTTGACACTGACATTTACCAAAATATTTCAGAGCACAACCACCACCCGCTGAGCTGAACATGAGAATTCATGCCTGCTGGTCTTGTTTTTTCCCTCGGAGTATGACTGATTTGACTCATGCCTGACTCTAACAAAATTTCCAGATCTCTGCTAGAATTGCAGGTGGTAGGAGAAACTCCTAAGCATGCAGCTGAATTTCTGTTCTTGTGCCCACACTATTACTGGTCTCTGATGAAAGGGTAGAGCAAAACATTCTAGACTATTTCATAAACTTAAAACTTTACATGTTCAAGAAGAATTCTTCACTAATACAGCTGGACATCTGCAAGGAACGGAAGTATTTCATAAGCTTAAAACTCTACATGTTCAAGAAGAATTCTTTACTAATACAGCTGGACATCTGCAAGGAACGGCTTTCATTTCTTTCAGAGACACCTGTGAAAATCCCAGTTTAGTCCCCAGTCTAATCTGGAGGCTTCTTGCTCAACAGCATTAGCAAAGGGGGAGCATTGGCCCTTTGATATCAAAGCCAGAGCAGGAATATTTCTCTGCCTTCCAACAATCCCACTTATGATTTGGTTACTGGTCATGACCCCGTTATTTATTGCATAAGCGAATCATAAGAATTACTGGAATTCTTATAAATCCCAAGTAAATAAAGGGGAAAAGAAAAGCCCACCTGTAATCAGACACCATGTAACTGCATGTTAACGGGCTGTTCAGTGCCCTACTGGGATGCGTTACAGAAATGCTATAGCATTATACTCAATTTCAAGAGGCCGGCAGACGTTTTTAAATGAATAAATTCTCTTTATATAATTACAGTAATGACTACAGTTCATACCTTATGCACAGCAAGTAAAAAAAAAACCACCACACTGGAATTTATGTAAATATTATTAATGCATACACTATGAAAAAGCAATTCATGTTAATTAAAAAACACCTTAATTTTAAAAGTTTATGAGAAACAGTTACACTGAGCGTTTCCATCTTTGAAAGCAGAACAGAAGTTGTTCGCAAGGATCCAATGGGGATTGATATCCAGCTGCTTGGAGCTGGGCTGCAGACTGAACGTGTACTGAAAGCTGGGCTGAAATCCCCTCTCGGCTGATGGCGGCAGCCGTGCTGCTGTTTCCTACGAGCCTGGAATTTCACCCCAGTCTTTACATTCTTCGTCGGTTATAGTGGAGCAGCCAGAGGAAAGATGATTAGAGAGCAGCCAAGTAGCCTCACAGTTCAAGAATCCAATCTTCAAGCAGCTGTAAGGTCTAGGGGAAGGAGAAGGGGGTTTACAGCACAGTTAAAATTGAGCCTCTCTAAAAAATGGGGAAAGTGGCCGCTTCAGTAGCGGAGCTGGTGACAGGATACTGAACATTATTCCTAGAAAGAAGCAAATCTGAGTCTCAGTCCTTGGTGAAACCACCCCATCGTATTTGCCTTCGACTAGAAAGGAAGGCAGGCGTAGCATGTGAACACATAAATGCGTGTGTCACATGCAAGGCATTCCAGGAGCCAAGCAATTTCTCTGCATACATCAAGACATTGGTGAGAAAAAAAAATAGCAAAGGTTTTTAGCACTCAAACAATTGGCTACATGCACTTGATTTCAAATCCAACTTTACACATTCTTGATAAAGAGAAAGGCTTCAACATTGAAGATGACACTTTTAGCACCAACTGCTGGCTTGCAAGTGAATACTTATTTGCAAGAGACAAGTATAGAAAGATGTGCTCTTCCACTAAGAGGCATCTTGTCTTAAGGCAATATCCAAAATGACAATATAGCCACCACAGAAACTGCTCCAACAATCCCACAGGGGTCCCATCGCTGAGGAAAGGTAGGAACTAAACTGGCAGCTGCCCTACTCCTCCCCACCATGTGCCCTGGAACGCTGGAAATTTCCAACATTTGTATGTTGCTATTTGTTATAAAGCAAGCTGGTTTCTTCCTGTAACCCCTAAAACCCTCTGTAGTCGTTTATATTAGCTGTACCAACCACTATCAGTAGCAAGGAAAATACTGAGGAATTGCTGTCTTTCCTTACCACTAACCCAATTAAAAAATTGTTCAATACGATAGCAAACGTTGACATAATTAATACGAATGAGAGATCTGTCACCATTTCCCAGAAGGGAAATGACTGTAGCCAATCCAGCCAGATGTGCTCCTGCAGCACCCAGCCTAGGGCTAGTTTTAATTCTTTGCTTTCAAAAAAAGAGTCAGCTTACTTACTTGTGTATCTCCACTAAATAGTATTTTAGGAATGGAGGCAGTAACTTCTGAATATACGCTAAATCTATCAAAGTGAGAGGTAAGTAGTTTGTCTTCAATATCCAGCACTTTGTGGAACTCCATCATCCATTTTTATTAATGGTCACGGCACCCAGGTATGCAGTTAAGAAGTTGAAGATGATGAAGGATATAACCAGAATCACATATGGTTAAAGGCAAGGAGCAGAACTGCATCGCAACCCTACTTTTTTTTTTATGATTTAAAGGTGTGTTAAAATGTAGTACCAACTGAGATTTTCAGGAAACCTATTATTTGGCTTACACAGTAAGCTATGCCTCGTGCACTGTATTCTAGACCAAGCTGTGTTTAAAAACGGCACACAAGGTTAAGAAACTTTACGAGGCGCCGGCGAATACTCTTGTGCTTTCATAAATAGAGTAGTGTACATCCTATATACAGGGGCTGGCTGCCGGGGGGGCCGTTAGCCGGCCATCCAGAGGAAGAAGGGGATGAAGATGGTGGGGAGCGTGGTGGAGGGTGCCAACCCGAGGCAGACTATGGATGCTAATCCCACGAGCACCGAAGCGAGGACGCTCCTCTGGTCCCGGATGATCATCTTCACGGTCTCACAGAACTGGAGAGGGGAAAAAAATAAAAAAAAAATAAAAGAAAAGGAAGAGGATTAAAGAGGAAAGCTTTAGATGCCGGCTCTCTCCGTGACAGCCCGGCGGCTGCTCCCAGCTCTCGGACGGGCTCTCTGCAGCCAAAAGCGGGTCTGGCACCGACTCCCCACCCCAGCGGGAACGAGTAGCGTTTGAAGAGCGTATTAATTAATTGCCCGAGGCATTCCGCCCCGCTCTCCTCGCCGCCCGAAGCCGGCAGAGCCCGGGCTGCCCGCCCTATCCCCGCCAGCTCCGGCCGTGCCCCGACGGGCGGTACCGACCGGGCGGCGGCTCCCGGGGCCCGCGGCGGCGGCTGCCCCCCTCCTTCCCGGGAATGGGCCGTACCTTGTCGGTCTGGAAGCTGACGGGGGCTCCGTACCGGCAGTAGGTGACGAAGTGCTCGCAGTTGTTCCAGAGCAGGCTGTAGGCCGTGGCGCCCACCAGCTTCTCCGCCCGCCGCGCCGCCTCCTCGCTGCCCAGCACTTGGTCCTCGAAGAGCCGGTCCATGTGGTTGACCAGGATGCTGCCGCCGTAGGCGAAGTCCTCCACCGTGTCCACCCGGATGCTGGCCATTTTGGTGATGACGCCCAGGATGAGCCGCTTGTTGGTCACCACTTGCTGGATCTGCCGGCGGTCGCCGGTGACGGCGGGCAGGATGTCGGGGATGAGGTGGGCGACGCGGTTCTCGCCCAGGTAGATGCCGAAGTGGATGAAGAGGGTGCGGGGCACCTCCAGCAGGTCCCCCCGCTTGAAGCAGCTGGTGTCGTAGTAACCGGGGGCCGGCGGCGTTTCCCCCCCGGAGCCGGCGGAGACGGGGCGGACGTGGACGAGGAGCAGCAGCTTCTCCAGCAGCAGCGAGGCCGCCTGCGGCACCGGGTTCTTCATGGTGGGCCGGGATGGAGGGGGTGCCGGGGAGCCCTGCCTGCCGCCGAGCAGCCCCCGCAGCCCGGCCCCGCTTTTCTAGGCTACCGGGCGGGGCGGGGCGGGCACCGGGGCCAGCCCACCGGCGGAGCGGCCGCCCCGGGGAGCGGCCGGCATTTATTGGGGGAGCGCACCGCGGCCCAGCCGGCACCTCCCGCAGCTCTCCGCAGGTACGAGGGCCAGAAAAAGCGCTATTTTGGTTCAGAGGAGGGGGCACCTTCCCTCCCCCCCCGCTCTAACCGGCCGGCCCGGAGGCGGGGGGCGGCGGCGATACTCGCTGGGCGGCGGGAGAGGGGAGCGGAGGAGGCTCCTGAGGGCGCCTTTCTTCCTCGGAAGAAAACAGGTCCCGGAGGAAGAAAGGGGAAGTCACATTTATAAATTGACTCGCCCGAAAGGTCCCGCCAGCCCAGGAGGAGCGGGGGAAAGGCAGGGGAGCCTTCCCCGTGCGTTTTGTTTCATGCTAATCCATTATGCAAATGGACACATCCCGCCAACAGAGCCCACAAAAGAGCAGCCCCGGCAGGTCAACAAAGCCGCCCCGTCTGAGGCTAAGCAGTTTCAGTAGCCGAGCAAATTCCCGCCCCCCTCCACCCCCCCCGCCCCAGGTCTGCGGGATGATGGATGGGACAGACATTCATTTTACCTGGGAGATGACAGGGCCTGCAGAGCGGCAGGGACAGGGCACCCCCTCACCCGCCGCAGCCTTTTGTCGGGGCCACTTTCCCCTCTCTGAGAAATTGAGAGTGGGAAGGGGGGGGGTGGGGGGGTTGGAGGTGGGAAGCAATGCTGGCGAAGAAGTCGTTTGTCAGAGCATCTTCCCCCAAACCCAGACTCCAAAAGCTGCCAACTTGCCTGATCTGTCCTCCTGCAGGTTGTGGACACATGTGCTGTGCCAAAATCCGAAGGGAAGCAAGGGGAGCAGCAGCGTGTAACAGCTCTGCATCTCTCCACAGGCAAAGCCACATGCTCAAACAGCAAGTTATTTTTCCCTCCTCGGCCACTTTAAATCTGAGCCTGTGGATTAATCCTTAGGACCCTTTGGTCAGACCATCAAAAAAGAAGAGAAAAGCTTCACTATCCCTTTTCTTTCCACCAGGGAACAGCTCTGGTATGAATGGAAAGGTAAAGGGGATGTGAAGGACCCAGCAGGTGAGAGCTTCCTACCACCGTGGGTACTGAACCAAGGCTCTGGCAGGATCCTGAGCACAGGAAAGATGAAGCTTATCAATGAGCCAAGACAAGTTTTGCCACTCCCCAGTGAAGAAAATACTTCAGGCGAACAGGGTTTTGCCCTCCTGTTTTTTCCTGCTTGGAGCAGAGAGCAGCTCCAGTTCCTGGGGAACCAAAGGTTATCCTCACCTTGCTCCATCTGCCAAGGTTTTGTTTCATGCTAATCCATTATGCAAATGGACACATCCCGCCAACAGAGCCCACAAAAGAGCAGCCCCGGCAGGTCAACAAAGCCGCCCCGTCTGAGGCTAAGCAGTTTCAGTAGCCGAGCAAATTCCCGCCCCCCTCCACCCCCCCCGCCCCAGGTCTGCGGGATGATGGATGGGACAGACATTCATTTTACCTGGGAGATGACAGGGCCTGCAGAGCGGCAGGGACAGGGCACCCCCTCACCCGCCGCAGCCTTTTGTCGGGGCCACTTTCCCCTCTCTGAGAAATTGAGAGTGGGAAGGGGGGGGGTGGGGGGGTTGGAGGTGGGAAGCAATGCTGGCGAAGAAGTCGTTTGTCAGAGCATCTTCCCCCAAACCCAGACTCCAAAAGCTGCCAACTTGCCTGATCTGTCCTCCTGCAGGTTGTGGACACATGTGCTGTGCCAAAACCCGAAGGGAAGCAAGGGGAGCAGCAGCGTGTAACAGCTCTGCATCTCTCCACAGGCAAAGCCACATGCTCAAACAGCAAGTTATTTTTCCCTCCTCAGCCACTTTAAATCTGAGCCTGCAGATTAAGGATGCAGGACCCCTTTGGTCAGACCATCAAAAAATAAGATAAAAGCTTCACTATTCCTTTTCTTTCTGCCAGGGAACAGCTCTGGTATGAAGGGAAAGGTAAAGGGGATGTGAAGGACCCAGCAGGTGAGAGCCTCCTACCACGGTGGGTACTGAACCAAGGCTCAGGCAGGATCCTGAGCACAGGAAAGATGAAGCTTATCAATGAGCCAAGACAAGTTTTGCCACTCCCCAGTGAAGAAAATACTTCAGGCGAACAGGGTTTTGCCCTCCTATTTTTTCCTGCTTGGAGCAGAGAGCAGCTCCAGTTCCTGGGGAACCAAAGGTTATCCTCACCTTGCTCCATCTGCCAAGAGACAGGCCCACCACCATAACCTCTTGTTTGGTCACCAATTACAAGCCAGAGCCCCGGCACTTCTTACCGGAGTGGTCAGGCATTTGGGATTTTCTCTGGAGAGCCTCAGCCAAATTTTTATGCGAGAGGCTTAGCCCTCCTCAAGCCCCTTGCTTCAAATCGCATCACTTACAAAAGAGAAAATACCTTACAGATGTGGCTTATGATGCTGGTAGGAACCCTGTGGATTAGCCACCAGCCACACTTAATTATATAATTAAAACAGCATCTTTTCAAATCCAGATGTTAAATGTATTTGGAAGGTCTGAAGCTTTTGCTGCTAGTAAATTTAAATGGGGAGGAAGGAGAACTTTTCTAATTTTTAACCAGTGCATTATTTTTTAAAGGACTGGGGAAAAAGAAAAGATTAAACCCCCTTGTCATGATAAAGGGGCTCACCTGTTTGATGGTGGTCACAGCGGCTGGTCCAGAGCTGGAGCACTGTGCCACAGCCAGAAGGTTATAGAAAGACTCCAAGTCCTGGCACAGAGAAGTTCCTGCACTGCTCCTGCTCTGTGCTGCCAGCTGAAGACCCCCCTCCCCTTTCCCAAAGCCATCAAGGGAGTGTCTGGATGGTCTTTGTTGAAATAGGTGTTAGAGATGTTTCAGTCCCACAGCTCCGATTTCTCTCCCCTGCCCAGGGGAAGGTAGAGGAATCCAGCTGAACTCCCTGGCGCGCTTCCCAACGGGATCTTTCACTGGGAGGCATCCTTTGTTTGCTTTCTTAATGCCAGTTAGCTTTAATCCCCAAATCAACGGGGTCTGTTTCAAGTAAATCCGGAAAGGAAGACAAGATGAAACCCAAGAAGAGGAGTCGCCACAAGGAGGTGACTCCAAGCCCTACTGCACGGGAGGGTTTCAAAGAAAATGAGATGAGAGGTGTGACATTTCTGCAGTGTAATTTCCTCATACCTGAGGCACTAACGAGCCTCCTCCTCCACCCCCCAAACCCAAACCACCACGAAACCCCAACGAATGAGCAGAAAAGGCATCAGAGAGCAGACAGGTCTGTGAAACAGCCCTGTTCCTCCAGCCAACACAGGTGCCTGGCTGCAGCCAGATGACCCTGGCAATGCTTCACCACTGCCCTGCGACTGTCGTGAGCGTCACGGGCTGCAAAGTGCTCGATGCAGCCCAGAGTCAGTCCTGAATAAGGACATTCAGGTTCCCGAAAGGCAACCTGCAACCCAACCTCTTCTGCCTTCAGACCTTGAGGCCTGCACTCCCATCACTTTCAAACCGCCACGATGCAAAACCAAGTTTAAAAAGGTATACTTACAATTATTTTTCCTCTGCTATGAAGGGGAAAAAAACTCCGCATTTTAGTGGAAAGATGGCTTCATCGGAGATGGCTACATCAAAAATGTGCTTTGTGCCTCAAACTAAGACTCTGGCACATCCTTTACCCTGGGCCACTTTTGTATAGTAACTTTTGTACCATTAATGCACAAATTGCAAAAGATCACAATCACTTTGAGATGTTAATATTACACAGCAAACACTGAAAAAGTTTTGTTTGGACTGTTAGCTGCTATAAAATAATATCATGATCAACCTCGTGGTTTATTTTTGGGAGTCACGTAGAGATGCAGTAAAAAAGAAAAAGGACGCAGCCTTTGTTTTGCAGTGCAGATGAGCCACAGCACAAAACCTTCCCAGGTAAGACGTGTGAGCCAGTTTCCATTGCACTGAAACGCATATATTCTATGGAAAGTTATTCTATATGCTAGGCATTAATATTTCCATCCTGCCCCCACAGCTAACACAATAGGGAAAAGGCAGGAGAGGCAATCAGAGGGGTAAGCTCTTGCCTGTCTGAGGAACAGCCCTGGTTTAGCGCAGGCAAAATGCATTCCTGACTGAAATTAAGACAGTGCTGACTGCGTACAGGCTCACCTTCAAGTACAATTTACGTTTTACCAAACACTTCTCAATTACTCAATCTGTACCGTAGATTAAGAAACAAATGCAGCTTTAACAAGCTTTCAGGTCAGCTGGGACTGCTGGAACACGTACAGGTTCATGAATTCAAAACACGTTAAGGAGGTCAAGGAGGATAAAATCTTTGGATAGGGATTTTTGGAGGCTATAATGTGCAAGGAAAGTATCTGAAAAGCAGAGCCACTTGGTTTAAGCTGCTGCACTGAAAGAAATAACGGACAGAAAACATGTTTGTGAAGGATGGTTTCACAGCATCCAAAAGGACAGTTCCAGTAATAAAAAAATAACTCCTTTGTATTCCCATATCCAATCCACTTGAACACTGCACTATTCTTTTCAGAAAATTACAGCTTCCATTGTAGAGCGGTAAATGACCAGCTCTCCAGAAAACAGTATCATTTACTTTTTCAGTTTTTGTATTTAACGAAGACTAGGGACAGAACAGACAAAATCTGAAGGAAGAAGGGAACCAGCAAGACAATGCATGAAATTGCAGGCAGGTGAAACAAGTTCAAAACAAAGAACTTCTGAACTAAGTCTCACTCTCTTCAAGTAGAGGAAACAACGTAAATTACTAAAACAAATGTATACTTTATAAATGTTCGCTTTTATTCAAAAATTATTGCATACACATTTACAGAGTCAGTTAAACAGCATATTGAGTGAACTGCACGTACTTACTGTAGCATTTTTATCCTTGTAGGTTTGCTACTGAGGTCTATCACTTTTTTACTTCCTCCCAATACCTTTGTCTGTTTTACTAAACTAATAGGCTTCCAAATTATTAACAACAGTTTTCTAACGAACCATGAGTGTAAACATA